TATCAGGAAGGCTTTCAATGGACCCTTCATGGGTAAATACAGCCCGAAGTCAGAATGGATCAAAGTTTCCGACTACGAGGTTCGTTTAACGTCAAATCGTCTGAAACCCGTTGAGTTCTATATATTTATTGAAGGAAAATAGAAGATACCGTTGTTCTCATCAGGTGCCGGACCCCCGACCGGGTAGCACTCTAGTGAATGACAGTACGCTACTATCTGAATATGCTGTCAATTTCATCAAGTTGTATCCATTCATGTATGACCATGTTCAGCCGATCTATCAAGAGCCCATCTTTGTCTTTTCTCAAGACAAGAATAAGTGAGTACTCGCCATTGCTTTTAAATTTAGGAAGGAGGATTTTCGTCACTGACACTTCGATGCATTCCAATTTCCAGTGCTCGATTGAGCCGAATTGTCGTCGATGAGAATATTACAATAGAGGATGGGGCCATTCGTGATGTCATTTTCGTCGGAACAGGTAATGGAAAAAAACAATCAGACCCGGAATTCAAATTTCATATTCCTTCTCTAGGTACTTCTACTGTACAGGACTTAAGAGCTCTGTCGTGATTGCAGATAACGGAAGAGTGCTAAAGATTGTCTACAATGAAGATGAGGCTGCAGAGAAAGTGAATGCAGTCGTGGTAGAGGAATTGGAAGTGTTTGGTAATGCGAAAAGGGTGGTAAATATGTATCGCTATCGAGAAGAGGGGAAATCTGCAAAGATCGTCGTCATCGGAGATGAACAGATCAAGGCCTTGCCTGTTCATCGTTGCGATCTAGTCAAGTCCTGCAGGTGAGTCCTTGCACCATCATGCTTTCCACATCGTCTTTCGTTTCCAGCGGCATCCTTATGGTTCCAAACAACCTCTTGGTACTTCATCCCTGTTCGAAATGCAGCAATTGCGTGAAGCTTCAAGATCCTTACTGTGCATGGGACACAATGGGCAAGGGTCATTGTGTCAATGTGGATAGTGAAAGTCATGCAATCCACTCCATTCGCTACATTCAAGACATCCGTTCTGGCGAAAGCACACAGTGCCGTCAAGCAATGTCACATTCGGAGGATACTGATGAAACCAAAGGAGCCATGCTGAATGACATTTCCGGTAATTGGAATCCACGATTCCCGTTAATTATCCTGGAATTAGCATTAATATAGTTTATTCCTGGTCCTCACAGAAGGCTTCCCTCCAGCAAAACAACCACACCCTATTGAAGCTATGGGTGAGTTTCTCCTGTTTCTACTCCCATTCGACTTCACCTTAGAAATAATAGTATTAGGTTGTTCCGAAATAAATGTCCGATTTTCGAAGTGTAATGTTTTGTCTATCATTACACCTATCAATTTTGCACCTATCATTACACCTATCAATATATCAATTTTGCGATAACCAGTTATTGTTATATACCGTTTTTCTGTGATGTGGCCAATCCATCTGACTCCGAGTGAGAGGGCAATTGGCCTGTGAGTAACAAACAAGTTCATCCTCTAAATGTAGATGCCTCCATGCAGCCTTCATTCGTATGTCTCGAAATTCACGGAACTTTTGGTTCCTTTTGGTTGTAGGATATGCCATTTTCATTAAAATATTATATTACGTCCCTTCTATTCTATTGGAACCTTAAGATGCCAGAGGTTTCAGAGCGTTCAGTTGTAAACGTGTGAAAACCTATTTTTAAAATATCCTAAATTACTCGTATTCAAAAGAGTGAGGATGACAGCAGCATCACATTATTATTAGGCTGTTCCAAAATAAATGTCCGAATTCGATCGCAAACTTTGAAGGGTCGTAACTCAGCTGATAATGAACATTTTTAATCGAAGTAAGCACCATCCGCTTCAACACANCGACCCTTAAAAGTTTGCGATCGAATTCGGACATTTATTTTGGAACAGCCTAATAATAATGTGATGCTGCTGTCATCCTCACTCTTTTGAATACGAGTAATTTAGGATATTTTAAAAATAGGTTTTCACACGTTTACAACTGAACGCTCTGAAACCTCTGGCATCTTAAGGTTCCAATAGAATAGAAGGGACGTAATATAATATTTTAATGAAAATGGCATATCCTACAACCAAAAGGAACCAAAAGTTCCGTGAATTTCGAGACATACGAATGAAGGCTGCATGGAGGCATCTACATTTAGAGGATGAACTTGTTTGTTACTCACAGGCCAATTGCCCTCTCACTCGGAGTCAGATGGATTGGCCACATCACAGAAAAATGGTGGGCGGGTTCATTTGATACCTGGCTACTCTACGAGTATGCCTATGTTACATTCGCTTGTGTAAATTTGTGCACGTGAAAGGAATTTATTTTATGTTTTAGAACTGCTTGCTGCTGGTGCGATGGCAGCAAATGGAGGAAGTTTTGCCAAAACTGGGAAGATTTGGATCACGGCTGTTGTTTGTTCCATTGTGGGTCTTATAGCGGGGTTTCTCGTTGGGTCTCTATTCGCTAGAAAATGCAGACGTGCCTGAGGAAATTCTCTCGACAAAAAAAATTAATTTTCAATTATAGTTACTGTTTTGAATAATTAATCCTTTACTGCACAATATTTATGCCAATACTAACGAGTTTGTTTACCCTTCAGGTTAACAAACTCCATATGATCGCACCATCGGCGTCCTATCTTGGATCAAATTATTTCATTTGAAATATTCAAATATTCATATACCCTCGTACATGATTGGACATAACGGAGATTTAAAAAAAACCATAACTCCGATGATTTGTTGTGTGCCTAACTTCAGATCTCTTCATGTGTCCCCATTTGGCAGAGAGAAAAATAAATCTTGAAGTACTTCTCTCCCATAAACCGCTCCGAAGGGACATATTTCAAAAGTGGGAAATTTTTCGTACTCAGCAATCTGAGACGGTTCCATTTGGGTATGGATAAAATAAAAACGTAAAATAGTAGCTGCTACTTTTATTGACTCAAAATTTAGTACACATTGTATACAAGGACGGGAGATTCAGATAAGATCCATCAAAGCTCAACATGCCCTCCATGACGGACATGACACAGCTTATAACGCAAGTCCAAATTTTCCCACATATTGTTAACATCTCCGGTGTGATTCGTTGGAAAGCTCCGTGCGGCAGTGCGCCATATTGCTGGAAAAACTGGCCTTTAGAAGTCCGTGACTATCTGCATGAAAGGTTCAACAAAAACTGGTGTGGTCATGGTGGACCCATTGCTTGGCTCCCAAATTCACCAGATTTGACACCACCAGATTCATTCGTATGGGGTTTTGTGAAGAATATTGTGCAAGCTCAACGACCTACAGACATTGATGACTTAAAGGAAAAGATTGTCGAAGCTTTCCAGCGAATCACACCGGAAATGTTGAACAACACGTTGGAAAAATTGGACTTGCGTTATGAGCTGTGTCCGTCATGGGGGCATGTTGCGCCTTGATGGGTCCTATCTGAATCTCCCATCTTTGCATACAATGTGTGCTAAATTTTGAGTCAATAAAAGTAACAGCTGCTATTTCACGACGTTTTTATTTCATCCATACCCAAATGGAACACCCTGTATATTGCTTCATGTCAAAAAATGTCAATTTAGTTTTAGCAATAAATCTCCAGCAATTACAGCAAATTTTCAAAGTGCCCCCATCCTGTCCAATGCACACCACAACTCATCTGAACAGATCAATCGCTCACTTTATTGTGGATTGATGCAGGGGTTGCCAAACTTCATTAACAAGGCATTAGTCGCCGTTTTAGTTCAAACCAGTCCAGAGTAGTAAACATGTTAGCAGCACACCTACTACTCTCCAAATGTCCAAGTTTCAGGAGTTGTATCATGAACAAGAGGCTCCAAAAAAACTTGATATTTCTGATTTTTGTGTTTTAAATGTGTAGTGGTACCTGTAGTAATTTTTTAAAGACGAAATCCATGTGGAGAAAATTAAGGATAGAGCGATCCTTGTAAGCCCACAAGGCAGGCGTATGATGCGTGAATGCGGAATACCAATGTTTTGACTCATATAATGGATTTGGCTCTTGCCATTATACTAGAGATAGTGTGTCTTTGGAGGCAACAAAGTGGATTGTACTGGAGCTAATAAGCCATATTTTTTCATGAAAAAAACGAATGAAATATTATATTTCAACATAATCGTCATTTGTGGTACTTGTGGACTTTCCTCAACATGCTCTCCATTCGCAAAACTGATCAGTGAGAAATAGTTTATCACACTTTGAGAATCAACAGCTGACTTCAGCTTTTACTGTCATCTCTGGGGAATACTTATCATACTGCCGTCCCATTCTTCCTTCCCTCCCAACCATAAGTTTAGCTCTATAATGGTAAGTGTTTTTGGGGAGGGGTGTCGATCTACTGTCTTTTTACATACTGTTGTGTTGCTCCCTTTTTTTCTCTGTGAGCCTTTAAATGGTCAAAGCTATCCATAGAAGTGGCAGGAACTTACACAGCACAGCACCACAGCAAATAGTTCATCAATGCCATCGCACATTCACCCTTTACAAAAGGGTGAATGTGCGATGGCATTGATGAACTAAAAGTCCACCTGCCAGGTGGATTTGAAACCAGGTGGATATTCCCTTAGGCGCATTCCCACCTGCCAGAGCGATGTCCACCAGAAAGGAACTCGTGCGCGAATGACCAGGTGGATTTCCACCAGAACATTCACCTGGCTCCGAATCCACCTCCTATCCACCTGGTCGTTCACAGGTGATGCAGGCAGGCGTTTATTAACCCTTTGCGGTCCAACCTCATCCCTGGGATGAAATTTATAAAACTGCAATTTGGTCCTATCTCATTCCCAGGATGAAAAAACTTACACGCGATCTCACAGGTCCTATATCATCTGTAGGATGCGACGCTATGTTTACTTGGCAATAATATAACATTCTTTTTCATTAGAAATAATAAAACCTCATTCGAACCTATTTCAATAAAAAAAAAAACTAAAAAAATTGGACTTTTTAGCCTGCGAAACTTAAAAATAATAATACTGCAAAGGGTTAAGGGATACTAACTCATATGCCAAATTTCCCAACAATAGCTCATAAATATAAGAAATGGTGTCATCGCAATATGAATGATTTACTACACCTACGATGTGTGGAATACGTTAACCTGGGGGTCAAACTCAATTTGGCGGGGATCAAATGATATCGTTCAGGCATGGTTAGGGGCCTCGTTAATGAATCTCACACCACATTTTTAAAGCGAACAAGTGAAATTTGCCGCAATTTTCGAAACCAACTTTTAAAGATGAATTTCCTGGCAGGAGAAATTGAATTGAAGGGTTGGATCCGGCCTGCGGGCCGCCAGTTTGACACCCCTTCGTTAGATGATCATGTCGTGGCTGCCCCCTGTCGTGACTAGCTCTAAGGTTCACAGGCTCGCGGCTTAGCCACCCCACCTTCAACTCACTCTTGCAGCATGGTATTATAATATCAAGCGCTTGTTCTTAGATGAAAGTGGAGTGCATAGTTCAAACAAAATTTTCATGTGAGACCTGCAGAGCAGATCATCCCCAAAGCAACGCTAGAGGGCCTCGAAAACGAGTTTTGCGAGTTTAGCGCAGTTTCAAGGTCACATGCCTTCATGTATGGAGGCGATCTCATGAGGGGACTAACTGAGATCACAGGATATACTGTGTTTTGTTCTTCTTTGATTTTCAATGACCCCTTCATGAAGTGAAATGAACCTAAACAACCATAACATTGAAATTGGAGTGAATGCAGGTAATCACTCCTAATCTTAGAAAAGCGCGTTTAATCCAAAAACTTTCCGAACAAAATACGGCCCAATCCTTCTAGATTAATTTGCAATCAAGAAACCTGAAATACAATAGCTGATATAGTCGTGAAACACTACCTGTGAAGCATGGCAATTTATTCTGTCATAGACTTAACATGGGAAGACGTTTATGGGAAACTATAGTTTAAAGTTAAGGTTAGGGGCCACATCGAAGCAGCCTCACACATACACTATCGTTCACAAGTAAGATAGATGCCTAGATTTGAACATATCTTCAAGTCAATCGATTTATTAGCCTTAAAAAATGTGACTTTCATTGAATCTCCTTTTTCTAATATTCCGTTTGTCTTGAGACAACTCCACCATGTCAGATGCACACGAGAAATTTTGCCATTCTTTATATTTCCTGCTTTCTGCTTGTTTGCTGTGATAGAATTTGGGTCAGGCGTCATTTCAGCCACCATCTTATCTGTCCTCAATGGAGCATTTTTCTTGATCGAAAGGCATTCTGGTCGATGGGCTAAACAATTTAACGAACCCTGATGGAATACACAAAAAAATCCTAACAGGAGACATAACACACAAGGCATTTTCTACTGCAACAGAATTCATGGAATCTATTGCTGATTTAATGTTGACACTTCCACTGTGCAGCATTGAATAAATGTTGAGTCAATGCGAGCGTATGAAAGGTGACAGCCGCATTGAATCAATGTTGATTCAACATCTAGGTATAAACCTTCAAGAGTGATACATTCAATCCACACCAAATCAACGTTGAATCAATTTTATGTGTTACTTGGGATGTAGTGTCCGAGAGCGTCTGGATGACGTTGACATGTGTTTTGGTTTTCGCTGAAACCAAGTACTGACACGGCATGTGCTCCGCCCACTTGCACCACCTATAAGAAACCTTCACAGTGTTAGGAATCCTGTAACGAAAAAATTCCCTTCAAGGTGGACCCAAGATCCATCTCAATTATATTGAATAATGTGGGCCACCTCAATGCCGACATGAAACGATCCACAAGAACACTTAGGCGGGGAGGGGGGGGGGGCTTAATCACTGGGTAAATTTTCGATGGTCGATTCAATGATGCCCCTTCTTTCAAGCAGAGCTTCCTTGATCACAAATGCTTTAATTTTACATCTTAACACTGGACAGCATCAACGGATTTGCGATGGAAGCAGTTCATTTACTTTCTCGGCCCAAAATTTACCAATACATTTAAAAATTTCCACTTCATGCAAGATCGTATAACTTAATACATAGCTGAAGAAAGCGTTGACTTTGCATGAGGAGGTCGACATCTATTCTGAGCTCGTTTTTTTATGAATTGCCAGAATCCTCTTGCAAGCGTAGATGTCGCTACAAAGGTGTGTGTGCTTCAAGATTCATGATTCAAGATAGTGATATCAAGAGGCGATTTCACCCATTTCGATATCACGTGTCGAATTCCATCAAACCCCAAGGTGCGTTATGTGCATATATTGTTCATTCGAATTGCTTATGGCGTGTGCAGAGAGACTTCAGCTGGGTTTGTCCTTGGAATGGGTAGTGCCTGGAGTGCGCCGTGATCGGATGCGGGACTCAGCCATCCACGAGAACCTCCATGTCAAGCAGATGCTTCTCGGGATCGAGAGGTCTCAGGTCAGGTGGTTTGGAGACGTCTGCATGCCCCCAGAGAAACTCCGAATAGGAGCCTTTCAAGCCAAGATGACGGGCAAAAGACCCGTCCGTAGACTTCGCACAAGGTGGAGTGATTACGTCACTCGACTTTGTCACGAGGTTCGGCATTCCACCTGCTGAGCTTGAATCTGCTTCCCGGATTCGAGATCATTGGAGGAGGCTCCTAGGCATGCTTGAACCGCGAACCCATTAAGTACCCTGGACATCAAAGGAAGGTTAAGCGTAAGGAGACCTTTGATTCTGTGCGGATGGAGGTCCCCATTGCCTCCTGTAAAGTGGAACATGCGACAGTTGCTGAGACCCATACCAATGATCTGAGTGACGAAAAATGGATGCATGTCAGTTTTTGGTCTATAATAAAAGATTGTTCTTTGCATCAGCTTAGGATAATCCGTGCAAGGGATGATAGACTGGAAAATCGCCTCCAGCGCCTTTCTTTTATGCCAATAAAATGCACTCATTTTGAATGATAAACATCTCGCTTTAAAAAAAAAATATTGGACTGGAAATATCCTCCTCATGAAGTACGTAGTAAGGGAATCTCTTCATAAGAGTAACTACAAAAAGCTTTGTGTGCCAGGTAGATGGAACGAAAAATTGTCCAGTCCCATATCGACAAAGGACTTGTCATTCCATCGCGCTAAAGAAGGCGAGAAAGGCATTGTCAATTGATTCCGAACGTCGAAAGTACCGAATATCGAAAATGTTTGGTGGCAACCTGAATGTGAATGTTTGACTTCCATTCCTTTCCCATCGCGCTAGTTTCTAAATGTCGAAGATAACGGGCATAGAAACCCAAAAAAATACAACACAGAGACATTGAAAGACAAAACCAACAATTATACGGCAGAGGAAATCTAAGTCAAAGTCAATTAAAGCAAAACATATAGGAGCAAAAATATATGAAACAGATGAATCTTCGGGGAAAGTAGATATTACGGTTCTCGTGTCTTACTTGGTTGCCATGTAATTTTTCCAAAATATACACCTGTCCTGCCTTTTCATGGTCAATCGATCAACATCAATGGCATAATTAATACCTTGTTCATTCCGGGGAATAGTTATATTCTTGTATTCTCAGTGTCTATGATGATCAGTCCAGATGAGAGAAGTGAGTCCCTTTTCAAGTCATTTTTCTTTCGCATTGGCTTTCATCTAGGATATCATGTATTCCGTTATTGTAATTGTTTATGGTATTTCGTGTAACATTTTTTGTGCTTCCTATTTTCTCCGTTTTACCAGAGGCCCTCTATTTCCAGATGCCCGAAGAAGAGAACTGCGCATTGATAATCGGTGCCTCCCCAAGAGAAGCTGCTTCGTACAGGAATCGTTTGAGCCAGGAAGGAGAGAGAAAAGCCTCCAGAGAATTTGCGAAATTATATCACAGGGTTCTAAGGAGGCTACTTCGTGTTACAGAAGCATGAGATCTTGGACCCAAAATGCAGGTACGTAGTACAATCTAATTGATTTTATTTTCCTATCTGAGCACAAGTACGAATTCTTCATTCTCAGCCTCCATACGGGATGACTCTGATGAGTGAGTTGTGAAAGTAGAATAGGATATGCCTTGCACGATGGTTCTGCATTGTTTTGGAAAGGGTACTGGAGACTCGCCCATACCCACTGCGTAATAAAGAGGATCCGATTCAATCGGATCCTCTTTATGACGAAGCTACTCTAAGACTACTCTAAGATTAATCAAAGCTGAGATGAGCTAGAGAGAAATTGAAGCCAAAAGGAACTGGTAACGAGAATACATAGCATAAGAAGGAGAATAATGAGGAACACGATGGAAATTATCAATATGTGTGGCACATCCCTTAGATGTTGCATTTCCACTTCAGAATGAGAGAGAAGTTTAAAATATTTCAGATAACCTGAACATTTTTTATTCGCATTAACACATTGACTGCCCATTTCAACCAATATGCTATTGGTTCTGCTGCCATCGATGACTAGTTAACTGGACATGGGCAGTCAACGTGTTAATTTCTCTGGGATGGCTGTATGAGATTTGGCTGGTGACCAGAGGAGGAATCTTTAAATAAAAAATTCCAATTTCTTTAAAATTAAATCTTAAAAAGCATTTAGAACGATCAGTTCGCACGCGTTAGTGGGAGAATTAGCTGGTCTTGCGAAGTTGGACAACACCGAGGGCACAATCCGATTGAGAGGAAGGTAGTGAGCTCCCTGAGAAGATAGTTTTGGGAGAGGGGGAAGATCATTGAGGGCGTATTTGTTTCTGAATCCGGAAAGGTGGGAAAAAAGAAAGGTAG